TGAGAATGATTTTTGCTTTCTCGTGAATAATTCTAAGTTAAGATAGACTTACCTTATCTTACTTAGGGGTTGTGATTTGTGATTAAGGGTTGGAGAATAGTAAATCGATCCACAAGGTTCTGGTATAATTAGAACGCAAGTAGTTCGTTAGATACTATTTTATGACTTACTAAGTTTAAGTGTTTTAGCCTGGGTCATCTAAGAGGAGAGGGATCAAGTGAAGGATGAGTAACCGAAGTTCTTCACTTTTTATCTTAATAAACATGGTTAGCTTTTTGAAAAATTTCTGTTAATTCTGGATCCTTGATAAGGGTTGGGTAGTGAATCGACGTTTGAGGTCGTTAGACAATAATTAATTTGGGAGGGGTTGAACAAAGTTGTTCTATTTGATCCAAGGATAAGCCTTGATGATCAAAAATTTAGATATAATTTAATTTAATTTATAGATCCAAGGTAAGGCTTGATGATCTGTTATTTAATATGAAATTTATTATGTGAAATTAAGGATAAGCTTTGATAGTTTATCAAAAAAGGGTTAGGGTTAAGTTTTAGTTTTTATGATTGTTAAATTTGAGATTTGCTGTTATGTTTTAGGTGATGAAGCTGGGATGAAGAGATGATTTATATATACTAACGATGTATGATTTACACTAACTAATTTTGTAATTTTATATTCAATAAATATTTTCTCAAGATGTTATTTAATTTACAGCTGATTTAAGGAAAATGACAAGTGTTGTTTTTATCAATCGTTATTGTATAATTATTAAATTTAGCGTCATGAAAAGTTATTGAAGATGATTCTTCAAAATTTTATGTCAGTAAATGAAAATTTGAGTTTACTGATGGTAGTATCCTAAATACAAAAGTTTGATCTGGATTTTGTCGTACGATCATGAAATTGATTGGTAGATTTCTTCCTAGTCGTATGTCGTCTCTTGTTCGAGGTCTTCTTCCAATACCGGGTAGTTCTCGTATTTTCGGAATATTGGATCTGATCTATTGAGTCGTAGAGACATATCTACTAAGTTTATGTCAAATAACATTTTTGAAATGTTGTATTTGTCTAATTCTAATCTAATTTTTGTCTAAGTCTAGGTTAGTTAAGGTCTGTTCGAGACTTTTGGTCGCACCAGATGAGTTAGAACCTTTTGTTTATACTCAAAGAGTATTTTCAGATAAGGTACACCGTCTGCTCGTCACGCTATCTTATTTTCGGCAGGATAGATTCGTCAACTTCTTAGTCTAATACCAATCTTAATCTTACTCTTATATCTCCTAGTCTCAATAGATCTAGTGTACACCGGTTTACGCGAGTAAGTTCCAGAATGAGAACAACTGTATTCTAAGTTTAATTCAAATTGTTCTGGTGTTGAAACTACACGTAGTTTCAACACTTACAAATAAGTGGGTTTTTAGTTTGATGGAGTATGATTGGCTAGTATTTAATATTTTATAGAGATAATATATCATAACAATAACCATTGATAAATACTAGTTTAGATCTGGCTCCACATATAATTTGAAAGCTTCAAGTTTAGCCAACCCTTCTTTTCGTTTAAAATTTTTTGAGAAGATTGTCATGAAGATTTTTATAAATCTCGGTGAACATAAATCAACAGACAACACAATAGTGAACAAATAAATGTAGGTCATATTTAGGGGTGAGGTTTAATTGACAACACTCCTCGGCTGCGCTCAAAATTTTGATTAATTCTTGATTTAGTTTTTCAATACTCCTCATTTCCCCTCAAACTTCCGCTCTGTTTCTTTCTCTGTCTCTGGATCACTGATCTGATTCTTTGCCCTGCTCTTTTTCTTCGAACTAATCGACTCCCCTTTTTTCATCTTGAGCTTTTCCTCCCCCTTGTTTTTGGTTTCCTGGACTGTCTGTTCATGGTTGCCCGAATCGTTTCGCGTGGGCATCTCAATGACTTCGTATCTCAGCGACAATTGGACCCATCGGTAATATCAGTGTATCAGTGATGGTGCTTCTTGTCTCGTTGCTGGCCTTGTCGTTGTGCATTTCTTTCTCTTAGTAACTGCCATATTATGTGTTGCGTTGCCAAATTTCGTAGATAGAGTATATTTCGTAGATAGGCTCTTATTCCTATGTTGATGTTTTTTTTTGGTGAGGAAGTTTCTTAGTGTCCTGCTTTCTGGGTGCCGGATCTTGTTCTGTCGACAAGGAAGATGATACATCGGATTCTGATGTTGAAAACATCGGATCAGGAATGTGGAAATTTTTCTTTTTGAAGACATTTGAAGTACTTTCTTTTTCTTTCATCAAATTCAATGCTTTTCAGGAAGCCGTTTCATATATAAAAGTGAACAAGACTGCTCGTATCAAGACGAGGCCCTGAATGTTCCGACTGCCTCTTAAGGTCTATGGAGCAGTAATAACATGAAAAAAAAATTGAATGTAATAATTAAAATGAAATTTTTTTGTTTAAATTTGATAGTTTTTGTAAAAGTTACTCCCCCCACACGCCATATAAAGTACAAAAGGATAGATTTCGCTACTTGTAACAAATCAATTATGGCAAATAAGCTTCCTTCAAACAATTTGGAACGATTTCTAAGACGGATTAAATCTCCGCTTACGCGTTAGTAGCGCGAAATATATCGCGCATTAATTGCCAAACTATCTTTAAAGCCCCATAACTTTATGGAAAATCATCATAGAAAAAATATCTTTCCAAATTTAGGCTCAGGACAACAATACCTTTCGAATGATATTTGAAAAGTCCCGTCAAAATGGCTAGTTAAAATGTCGAAATTTGTCTGAAGAAAAAAAACCCACCCGAGCACAAATATTCCGTTACTTTCGTTACAAAAGTCGGAACAAACAAACGGCGAGAGCGTATTTCTAAATCAGTTTGTCTTTTTTTGAAAAAGTAAGAAACCACGCCAGCTCTTTGCTGTAATTTTACAGAAACATCAGCATAGCATCCCTTGTAATCTAGAAAATCAAAATTTAGGCTTTTTTCAAGAAAAAAAATTTAAAAATAGTGACAGATACATCTCGCCCTTTTCTGGTAAAGTTTGCCATATTAATTAATCCGACTTTCGTAACGAAAGTAACGAAATATTTATGCTCCGGGTGGGTTTTTTTTCTTCAGACAAATTTCGACTTATTAACTAGCCATTTTTGACAATTTTTTTTAAATTTTGTTCAAAAGGTAATGTTGTCTTGAGCTTAAATTTAAAAAGATATTTCACCTGTGATTATTTTTCGTAAAATTATGGGGGTTTAAAGAGAGCCATTTTGGCCAATTTGGGACAACTAACGCGCGACATACTTCGCGCTATTAACGCGTAAGCGGAGAATCAGTCTGTCACAGAAATCGTTCCAAAATGGTTGAAGGAATCTTGTTTGTCATAGTTAATTTGTTACTAGGAGCGAAGATAATCACTTGGTACTTTATATGGAGTGCGGGGGATGATTGTCACAAAAAATCTCAATTTTTAAATAAAAAGTTTAGTTTTTTCATGCTATTACTGCTTCATCGTCCTTAAAAGGTAGTCAGAACTTTCGGAACTTAACCCTGATAAGAGCAGTTTTGTTTTCTTGCATTTTTGCAATATGTTAGCAATTTTTTAATCTACCAAACAATTTGTTTTTTTGTTCAATAAATTTTTTTTTTATTGCAAACCATAATTTTTTTGCGGACGACCTCTTGCAGATACTTAGCAAAATTTTCGATCAACAACTGTGGAAAATTTTTTCTTTCAAGTCGCTAGATACATAAGGAAGTTGCAAAAGTGCATGCGAAAAGCCTGAATGAAGTTTATGTTTATTTTTTTTTCTCCTAGTTCGCAGACTTCGGAAGGCAAAACTTTGCACGACCTTACTACATAATTACACAATTTTGGTTCTTTTGAATGTGAGTTTGCGTTCGCCTTTCAAGCATTTTGCAAGATTTTGTTTTTCTAGGAGCAGCAAGAAGAGCAGACTCTACACAAAAGGATTTTCTGGACTATGGCCCATACATTTCTTATATTTAAAAAATTGCTGTGAAATTTTATGACTTATTGACATTACATAATAAATAACACAAAAATGAAGCCTAGGGTTAGAAAATTTCTTCCTAAAAAATCCTTGGTTGAAAATCGTGGCCTTGTTTTTGCCACTTGAAATCGTGAAATTTTAAAATTTTTACACATTTTTACATATTTTTAAAGACTTTTACTCATCAGTTTGTTTTTTACACAAAACGCTAATTGCGATTTTTAGTTTTTTTGTAGAGCCTAGACTAAATTAATTTTTAAAAATTACAGCTCACAAATACGGGCAAACAATGTTTTTTGTGGTAGAGTGTTTTTGATTATGCAGTTTCGCAGTGGAAGAGTGCTTCTCATACAATTCCCTATATTATAGAATCGTTCAAAGCAATTTTTTTCATCAACAGATTTTATGGAATGTCGTGTATGCCTTATTTTTAGTGTATATAAGTCAACCCGGGCCAAGTAAACTGTTCAGTTGCTCGTAAGCAGTAGCTTATTTATGGGGGGGGGGGGGGGGAGGGTTGAGGCGGACGCTCTTTCCCTCGAGGATTCGACCTCCTGACTACACAAAGGGTCCCCCTATGGTACTATTTTGAGACCTCCATTTGTGGATAACTTACCCTATAATTTTTCTAAAGGCATCATTGGCGCCAATATGTGCTACTTTTGAGGTGGGAGCATTTTTTTAAATTTGTTTGAGGCTCAAAAATTGGGCCAAAATAGGGTCTTTATAATGCTATGTGTAAGCTCGAAAAATCAATTGATCTATTTACAAAAACGTTGACAAGTTTTTTTTAAATGAGCCCCCCTCCTCCCACTGCAAAGAAAATCCTGGCTCCGCCCCTGCTAGCACGGGTTGCCTGTCATGTACAAACTATACTTTTTCAATGGTCAAACTATGTCATTTTAATGAGCCTCAAACTATTTTCAAAGTATACAATAGATTAAGCTACGTTTTATTTTTGCATGTTATCAGATAAATGTGTGTGGTACATTTAACAAATGTTTTAAGCAATCACAGCTAATCAATACATTTTAAATTTGCTATCTTTTTACACCATCTGAACAAAACGACACAATGGACAAATCAACCATAAATGAAAAAAGCAAAAGCAAACGGAGAACAATCGATTCAAAAAGCGGATTTTATGACAGCGAAGGGAATTTGAGGAAAATCACATTGCATTTGTTAGCCGCAAGTCCACGGCACGACACGAGAAGGCCGCCTAAAGTTCCGCCTCCGATTCGGCCATCGTCGTCTGTTACTAAACCCGACTCCAAAAATATAAACCAAAGATCACGACCGAACACTGGTACCAGCACTGGAATGAAGTCACGAGTTGCATCTAGTAAGACTTCGGGTTTTTATTCCGGGTCGCCGTCTTCGTTTGAAACTAAACGAGATGACCCCGCTAGTCGCATGGACAGCCGGATAACAGTGATTACTCGGGCGTCATCTGCAAAATCGGAAGTTACGAGTCGAGTTAAAAGCTCTGATTTGGGTTTGGAGCGAGACGATATTTCGTCTGTTACATCGAAACCTGTAATGTCTCCGGATTCTCGGAAATCGCGACTTCGCAGAAGTGGCAAAAACAGATCGACAGTTAATGTTAATTCTAATTTGGAAGTGACTGCGAATCTATCAGGTACCAAATTATCCCCCCCCCCCCCCACACTTGAATAAATTGCCAATTTTTTGAACGGTTTCAAAAATTACGAAAGCGTAAGCATTTTTTAAAATTAAGGGAAACAAAATTGGTTCAGTTGACTCATTAAGTTAAATCCAAAACATCAATTCAACATCGCAGATTCATCACAGATTCATCGCAGATTCAGTGCTGATAATAATTGTACTTTTTCAGCGCTGGATCATCGATGAGTAATCGCTGGTTTAATTTACTGCTGAAAATTTTAGCTATGAGGCATCAATGAATCAGCGATGACGATTAATGTCAGTTCAACCCGGCCAGTTTTTCGTTGAAATTTTTACGCTTTTGAAATCCTTTTAGACAAACAAAACTATTTGCAGACGGCGATATCACAAAGTAGCTAGCGGATTCTGATGCTTTCAAGAACAGATTTTTAAATACATCCCCTCAGCAGTCAGTCGATATGAAGTTTTAATTCAACTCCGAGTTTAGTTTTCCTCATGAGATTTGAAAGTATGCAAGTTGAAGTGTTAAAAAGTAATATTGAAACTAATTTGACCAGTAAATTGGTTTCTTTTTATGTATTAAAATCGAATTATGGTTTGTTTCGGCAGATTCGCTGCTGAGTTTGATAGAGGCAGCAGAGAGGGGGGACGAGGAAAGAGTGGGGGAGTTGGTGGGACTGTACGAGGAGGGGGAGTTGAGGAAGAGACTGGGTCAGGTGCGGACTCCACTGCACAGGGCGGCTGGATACGGACAACTGGCGTCCATCCAACAACTCGTCCAAGTCAGTTTTTCACTTTCTCTAACTTAAAACGTCTCAACTGAAGAGAAATTCAGATCAAATATAATATTTAAATATGAATCCTAATTATTGAATCTCTTGGTAATGGATGATGGCGGGTCTTCTAAAAGTATAATTCGTCTCAATTTCCATCAACGAGGGGTACTTAATGCAGTTGCGTGAAGATTTTGACATTAAAAAAAGTAAATTTATTTACAAAGAAAGGCAATCTCGAAGCAATGATCAACTTCTCTAGCAATCTCGACTTTACCTTTTCCATCATTTTGTCAGATGCAAATGAAGATAAATTATAAACTAAGAGAAACGAACTTATGCTTTTTTCTAGCGTCTCTTGTCTATCTTCGTAATGTATTTAACGCTATAATCCCTATATTAATTGTATCAGAAATCATTGGTAATCTGCCGTCATGTTGAAAATGAATACATAAGAAACATGATTTAAAATGAACAAGCTATGCCAGCAATGAATCTTCGAAATATTTCAAGTGATTTCATGGAGAAAATCGGATGACAAAAAAAATCAATTGTGCCCATTCAAGTGCTGCAACTTTTAAATAATACAACACATTTCGTAGACCTAATCGAATTGCGAAAAGTTTTAGTTTTTTTTTCAATGCATGCTACTTGAGCAATGAAATTTGAAATACTTCAGGGAATTTGATAGATCGAGTCTTTTCGCAAAAAGCTCAATTTTTTCTTCAGCAAACTATTCAAAAGTATTAAAAATTTTTCTTGGGTTCATAATAAATATAAGGCAGACTCAGTCATTAGAAAAAAGTAATATAAATGGCTTTATCATCTTCATGTTCAGACTTGTTCATTTTATCATCTTCATGTTCAGACAAATCTTTAAGCAAGTTCCAAAAGTTTTGTGGATTCCGCTTACAAATACCTGTAACGTAAACTTTGTCGGCACATTTGTTTTCTTGCGGATTCCGCAACAAGCAAATAATAGCTAGTTGTTCTGGATTCCGCAACTGAAAGTGAATTCCGCAAAATGTAAGTGGAATCCGCAAAATGTAAGCAGAATTCGCAAATTTAGGTGGAATCCGCAAATTTAAGTGGAATCCGCAAACAAAATGCGGTATCTACTGACAGTTTGCGAATTCCACTTACACTTTGCGGATTCTACTTGCAATTTGGGGATTCCGCTTACAGTTGCGGATTCCGCAACAGCTCAATGTAACTTTACACATATCTTATTGTTTGTTTGTGGTTTCCGCAAACTGTTCTGGATTCCGCAAATTCACCTATTTTTGGAGCAATTTTGAGTGGTACAATGTTTTAAGTATTTGTTCGTGGAATCCAAAACAGCAAAGAAGGTCAAAGAAAAGTAGCAATATTGCGGATTCCGCAAAAAATCTGATTTTGGCCTGTTGCGGATTCCGCTAACATTGCATAAAATGCACAGTTTGGCCTCGCAATGTTGAGGAAATCTTGTTAACTATCTCACCCTAAATGATCTGAAGAAATTAGACATTTAGGCATATGAAAACTGCATTAACAAGAAGAAATAAGAACAGTTAGTTTTTTTCAAAGATTGTTTTTGTTTTTTTTTTCAAATATTTTTCTTTTCATTATCACTAATCCGCTACTGTGGGTGATTATTATATTTCGCTGGTAGGGGAAATCGTATGCTCAAAACAATATTTGTAGTTTAGTGGCAGCAACAATTACACATTTTGATCCACACGTTTAACTGCTTTCAAACATTTATTACTAATTGTCTATTTCAACCACAATCATAAAGTTGTAATCAAAGTTTTTGGGTTATTCCTATTGTAATCCCTGTCATAAAAATTACCCCAAACGATTTAATCGTCAACAGAAGTTTTTTTCTGAGATTGACAACAACTACAAATGGATTTCAAAACAGCTGTTTGTGGGGCTGGAAATATGATTTTTGCTGCCAGTAAAACTTAAATGTTGTTTTAAGCAAACGAAGTTGCGGAACTGAATTGAGTTACTATTCAGTATAAGGGTAAAGAGAACTTTTGGGAAAATCCTTCAGGTGAAAACTGATTAAAAGAATATCTGTGCAGGTGTTTGACTTTTTCGAATATTTAAAACTTTAAACAGTATCATTTTCACTAGAAAAAACACCAATTTTGCTAAAACTTTTGGCAAAAATAGAAATTATTTTAGACCAGCAGCGAAACCTTTTTTTCTGCATTTTTCCCGTTCGTTTAAATTACACGCTTAATATTGGAGACATACATTGATTTTTTAACGTTAAAAAGCTTACATTAAAAGAGAGTGTAAACTCAAAATTTCAATTAATTTAAGTTTACAACGGCAAAATTTATTTAAAAAATTCCGATTTGTTTTAAGTTTGTATCGAAAGTGACACTATTTTTTCTGTTATTTTCGAAAACAACAAGAACGCTCATTCCATTATTTTGCAAATTTTTGCTTAATGTCAAGTACAATGTAGTCACACGCAACTTCAATTACAAACAAGTTGTTATATGTCAATTTGACAAATTACAATCATCTTGGACAAGTTCAAATTTTCATTAGGAATCAGGAAAACTCCGGTGAATTTCAAGTTTTAATCAGAACAAACCAAAAAAGAAGAAATCAATCTGAAATCACTATCACGCAAAATTAACTAATTGGTATAAAAAACTATTCGAACTCTAGGAAGGGTAGGAGTCTATTTAGAAAAGAACAGACTGACCACTGTAATCCGCTCGTTTTTTACGTGGCGCCCAACTTAGGGCATTTTTTTCACTAATTTCGGATTAAAAAGAAATCAAGATTACGGAATCAAACGAAACAACGCAATTGGAAACGCCACAAGAAACGAAAGTCTATAGGAGACAACGACTAGATAAAACTACGACAGAAAGTTAAGAGTGAAAATCAAACTGAAACCATTAGTTAAGCCGGACAAAGCGCAAAGAGCACGCACTATTAATCTTTCTTCGCCCAGAGATGCATGAAAACAAATTTCAGCAACAACAAGCATCAAATTAACCAGCCTCAACTATCAGCAAGATCAGAAGGCAAATCAATATGAAGCAACCTTCAGCATCAATAATCACAAACCCGCGAGAGAATCACCACAACCGACAGTCATCATTTTGAGCGACAGATCGTTAGGATAGCCATAACCTACATCAACAGAGCCAATTTTAGGAATCAACAGTGTCTAGATTTTATGTTTCGGAACCACAACAACTCCCCTTTTTTTAAACTTAATTAACGACTGTAAAATGAGGCCGAGTGTTATATGCCAACTTGTCAACTGATAATTTTTCTAGACGACTTCAATTTTTCTTATGGAATCAGAAAAATTCTGGAAAAAAATCAAAGCTAGAACACAACAAACGAAATGAAAAAAGTCAAACTGAAATAACTATCACGTGCAACCAACTAATTGAATACAACCTTCATCCAGAAATAAAAACCGATGGAGAGAAAAATTGTATCCTTCAATAATTTGCTAGTGTCAAAATAGAGCTTTACGCTTGACCGATTTCACCTTAGTCAAATCATCATGATTATAATAATATCGAGGAGGCAAAATAATTACTGTCTAAACGCAATTAACCGCTGAAGTTATTTTATTTGCCTGTAAAATTAGTGAGCTCATGGCTGGGTCTCAGTAACCCCAGAGCACGAGGTCACTCCTAAAAATAGGGCTAATACACTATCATTATAATACGACTATATTATTATTTTCTTGTACAGTAGAGAAAATCACCCTATCCGTTGGAGATGGATCGAACTTTTCCTCAAATACTAGCTTATCATACCCTGAAAATGAAGTAAGACGTTGTTAAATTACATTCAGGCAATTTCAGGAAGCTAAAACGGTTGAAATAACAATTCTGGAGCACAAAACCGGTGCCTTCCCGATGCCGTCCCGGAGCTTTCCGGACCTTTCTTCAACTTCACTGAGGAAGCGCGTTCTTCACTACCAGGAAAGGTTGCAACTCTTGTTCGCAGCCTTCTCGATTCGTGAAACTGGTCCGGTAACGAGTGGAGCTGCACAATCGTTACAACTGGGAAGGCTTCTTTTCTTGCGTTCTCCTTCGAATTGTGATACGTATTTTTTGTCTGTTTTCTTCAAAGTGTCGTCTAATTCTGGCAGCAGAAACCGTTGTTCTGATTTTCGCGCTTTTCAATTTCTGGGAAATTCAAATTGTTTAATATCAAACACGTCCAGATCGGTATTTTAAAAAATAATTTGTAACTTCTAAATTACCCTTTCTTTTTTGGCTCTTTTTTAATATCTTCAAGACTGAATATTTTTTTTTCGTAAATTACTAATTATAGATTTAAAATTTGCCCGGAGATTTGTCCATTTCCTTTTCTAAGTCCAAAATGGAACAAAATTTCATTCTGCAGCTAATTTTATTTTGAGCATCTCATAGTCTGATACAAGACTCCTCGTCGTTAGACTTTAAGTATACACGAACGAAGATCGGTTATAACTAATTTTGATATTCCTTCAATAAAATGTTATAAAAAACTTGGAATATGTAAGCAGTAGTAGAGCACCAAAATTTTCAAAAATAATATGCAATACTATCATCATGCAGATCGAGTGACTTAAAAAAACTGGAGAATAAACATTTTATTTGCATTCCTGAAAATAGCGAAGAGGAATGCTCCTAACAAATAATTTGGTGATAAAACCAACAAGCATCCAACGACTGTTATCAACTTACGATTCCAAAAAAAAATAAAATTAATAAAAGATTCTGAATATTACAATTTCTCTAAAATTTTAGCTTAACTTTCAAAAACTCAGCCGTCTGTTCAAAAGTATTGAAGTTTGTGATTTTGGACCATTGAACTTGTATAATTATTACCAACGCTCTTTAGTGGTAGGTTACATCGGCATAAATTTGTCTGAAGCTCATTGATATACGATTAAAATATATAAACTAAGCTCAGTAGCTGCTCCTCAAAAATTTATGAAAAGTTGTTTTCATTACTTGTTTTTTGAGCAATTAAAATATGACATTTTC